CTGACCAGTTTTTTAAAGTGATCTACCCAAAATAAGCACATACTCCAAATACATGTGCATATAAGAACAGAAGCTATGAATGTTCATAGCTGCATTATTCATAGTAGCCCAAACCCAGAAATAAATGTTCACCATCAGTGAATGAAAACACGGTGTTTGCAATGGAATATTACTCAGCAATATAAAGGAACAGATTACTGTTATGCTGCAACATGGGGGAGTCTCAAGAACATTACACTAAGAGAAAGAAGCAAGACACAGAAGACCACATATTGTATTATTTATATGAAATGTCAAGAGGCAAATCCATACAGACAGAAAGATTAGTGGTTGCCTGGGACAGGGACGGGGTGGGAATGGGAATGGGAATGGCTACAAGTAGAAGTATCTTTGGAGTGATAGCATTTTAAGGTTGGATCATTATGGTGGAACAACTCAAAATGAATTTTATGATATACAAATTAGACTTTAATAAAGCTGGGTTTTTTGTTTTATTAAAGGCAAGTCTAGGATATAGGATAATAAAGCCTCAAACCTCACTGGAGTATTTGCATTTTAAGAGAGGGACCTTAAAGATTTCAAAACCTATAGTATGATGGAAGGCCTGGTGACAGAACAGACCTGGGGACTATGGCCCAGCACCTCTCTGGATCATCCCGGTGGGCAGCCCTACCACCCTGTACCGCAGCTATGCTGTGCCACCTTTCACATTCTGGGGAGCAGTGGGAACAGAGCTGCACACTGTTCGCCTCATACCTTCGCTGGGGCTCAACGTGGGAACCAGTGCATGCTCCATACAGCCACGATTCACACAAAAGCACCCCGTGCCTGATGCCTCTGCTTTCCACGAGTCAGGCGTGGAATCTGCTCCTCCCACCCCCAGAGCTGGGTCTGTGGAGACACTGCATTCCCCTCCTCTCAGTAGGGCTCTGTACCTCACCCCACCCGGCTCTCCCCAGCTCCATTCTGCTGACTAGGCTGCTCTCTAGAGAGGTTAAGATGTGGAAGCTGGACCAGGAGGCTGCTGCAGCAAGATCAGAACCGCCATCCCATTTAGCTCTGCATCTCTCAAGAACCTAAGGCCAGCTTAGAAGCACCCCTCATCCTGAAGCTTTCCTTCAAGTAAAAGAGTTCCTTCAAGTAAAAGAGTGCCCATGCCTGGCACTGCAGAGAATGTGGCCCTGCTTCCAGAAACTCAGGACCCACCCTGCCTAATTCGAAGTTTTTCTTTTTGATCTACTTTACAAATCTCTCCCATCTTACCTCCATGAGACGCAAGCACATACAAGTATCTATTCTCTCATGGCATGTGAATTCCCCCACCCTTTAGCTCAGTCTAATAAAAGCAAGCAAACCGTGGGTGAGAACCATATTTAAGACCTCTAGCATCCTCTCCAATGGTCTCCTCTACAAAATGACAAGTGTAGGCCTAAAACAGAGGAATGGGAATAGCTCCACTTTTAAAAGTAAAGGAGTCAAACATTGCCGGTAGATTTTAAAAAGATCTAGAGGTTTTCTGTTTATTTTTTTAAATTACACATAAAAGGGTTTCTTTTATTTAGGGTGAAGCTGTCAGGCTCTAATAGCAGCCTGGCATAGACAGTGGCCAAAAAAAGAACAGAAGACAGGATCTTGTAATATAAAATAAATACAAACTTGTAATCCAATAAAATACAACCAAGGGTGAAGGAAAAAGGAGGAGGAGGTCTCACCCCGCACCCAGCCTAAAAGGAGAGAAAAGTGCTGAGGCCAAGTAAGTTTTCTAAAACATGTTAACAGTTTCTTGTGTGTCCATCACTAAACTCATTTGTTAACTTTCCAAGTTGGTGCCGTGTGCTTCCTGCTCCCCTGGGCACCTCCTGCAGACCACACTCATCACTAGAGTATCTGAGTCACCAGAGGTCTACCTCAGCCCATTGTTGGGACTGCAGGTTGGGTCTTGATGCAGAACATACAGCATACAGGCCTTCTCCCAGGGAGAGAGTCAGAAGCCCAGCATAATTTACATCATGGAGAACAAGGATGATGCACAGGATGGAACTCAAGCTGCTTCTTCCCAAGTTCACAGAGAATCTGTGTGACTTGATGGCACCTCCAACAGGAGACAAGGTGGTCCTCTCTCCCACCCTGCATTATAGACAGGCATCAGGGAGGCAGCAGGCCTCTGATTGCTCCCTCCACACCTGTGGTTCCCAGCTCTGATGAACCTTCTTGCCCTGAATACCATCTGGAACCCTGGCATGCAGCTTAGGTTGGCAGGGGGTGAAGGGAGGGAGCTTACAGAAGTCCCTCAGGTTGGCCAGGCACACTGACTCATGCCTGGAATCCCAGCACTTTGGGAGGCCCTGGCAGGCGGATCACCTGATGTCAGGAGTTCTAGGCCAAAAGTAGGTGCTATAGGTGGGCACTCCTGTAATGTTGTGTTCTGACCCAGAGAATTTGCCTTCTTCATGTATGTTCTAGTCACGAGTCACACAAGACCAATAACTAACATATGCAAGATTGCAGTAAGCACAGCAACTCCAACCAGCGGGCCCAGGTAGTTAAGGGATAATCCAACTCCTGAAACACAGAGGAATTTTTTTTAAAGGGAACTAAGTGACAGGCCGAGAACTAAGTAACAGGGTGAGAGCCCATTCCCTTTCCTAATGGGCTCTCGAAAGCACCTTCAGAGATTTATGCTCTTATACCCATCCCTAGCATGTTGTCAGGCACATCATAGATAAATATTTTTTGAGAGAATAAACAAATGTTAACATTTGATTAAAAGCCAAAGCCAGACTTGGAACAAATGAACCTGGTAATATAAGGGCTTTTTTTTTTTTATAAAAAAAAAAAAAACCTATTTTTGCTATATAGCTCCCTCAAGAACCCTGTACATGCACACAGAGTTAACTTTGGAAAACGCCTAACATTCCTTTGTGATGCTGAATCTAAATTGCCTGAGAGCTGATGATTAAATATTTTTCATTTTATGCATATCAAAAATTGTTTATTTTTAAAAAGATTGTTACCTTTGAGACCATGTACCCAGAGAAGCACAAGGCCAGTTGTATTTCAGAATATATTCTACCATCAGATAGCTTATATGGATGCAAAGAAATAGAAACTATCTTTAGAGCAAAATCCACAGAAGCTAGATGACTGCAACCTCCAGATGACTGACTCACAGACCCTGTTCCAACTTAACTCTTGTCACTGACTTATCTGGATACCTGGGAGGGCAGGGGAAGAAAAAACAAAAAAAAACATGAAATATTTTAAATAGTTACATGTAGATTTGTAGCCATAAGAAATTCAATTACTATATACTGAGCTTCTATTTTATGCCAAACTCAATCTTCTCTTGACATATACAAACTAAGAAACCCCCACCTCAAGAAAAAAAACTTGCAAATAGCATTGCAAGATTACCCACCTGCCCTTAGAGTCCAGTGGAAAAAGATTGTGCTAAATGGCATCTTTGCTGGGATTTCAGCATCTAACATTCAAAGATCTAAACAAAGCCTTCGACATCTAGTCTAATCCTTTGTTTCACAGGGATATGCAAGACCTGAGCACCAAGGTCACACAGCAAGTTAGCAAGATGGGAAATAAAAATCATGTCTATTGATCTGCCTGTGGCAGCTCAGGCAGGTTACATTATTTCAGAGGTAACTGTACCAAATGAATTACCATCACCAGCAGTAAGTCCTTAAAAAGGCTAAGGGCATCCGTTAATTCATTACCAACTGCTCTATGCTGGACCCGCTCACAAGGAGCTCACATCGATTTTCCGGTGCAAGTCCCTGCCCAATATAATCTTTGATAAGAAGAAAAAAAGCAAGACAAAAGCAAGGGTCACAAAGGAGCCTTGGGGAAACAACTGGATGCTCAAGTTAATTCCTACTCACGTCTACTTTGATCAGAGTCAGGAATAGCATCCTATGGAAGTATTCCAAAGACAAAGTTGCAGAAGAAAAATCAGCACAATGAACATTCTCATAGTAAATGATCTTACAACATGTTCCAAGTTCTAGAACAGTTCCTGGACTTTGTCTAGAACATTTTCCTTTGGAAAATGCTTTCTTTGGTATTTGTGGCCAAAGTCTTCAGAATAAGAGCTCCACCCTGACCTTCTCAGGGTACAGGACTTCCAGGAGATTCCAGCAGCTGGTAAATACAGCCAGTGGCAGGGTGCCTGGGCAACCGATACCTGGGCGGGGAGCATGCACACACAGCATGCCAAGCTGCATGGGGGCATGGACTTCAGTCCTCTTGGCAGCGAGGATCACCAGAGCTTTAGGCCTGTCTCACACCCATTCACATCTAAAGACAGAAGAAATAGGCTGTTCTGGTCAGTCTCACTGTCCAGTCCCTTCTACCACGCTGTCTCCCAGAGTGTCCCAAAGGCTCCTCTGCTGCTCTTCCTCTCTGTTGCTGGCCTCCACCTGTTCCTTGAACACACCACACACAACCCTGCCGCAGGGCATCAACACCATCCAGAAGCCTCTTCCCCTGAGGACCACATGGCTCTCCCTCAACATCTTCTCAAGGAAGCCTTCCTTCACCACCTTTTAAAGACTATTATCACATACATGTGCATACACAAAACCCTATTTATCCCCTTTATCTGATTGTTCTTCATAGAGCATATCAACTCAGATACTCTGTAATTTATCCAGTCTATCTCCTGATTAGACTGTGAAGTACACGAGGGAAGGGATTTGCCTTTAGGTTTGCTATTGAATCCCTAGTGTCCCAAACAATGCCTAACCCATAGTAAAATGCAATACAATATATTACATACATGATGAATTAATAGCCAATTCTTCCTCGGGTTGGGGGACAAGCATAACATTCCCATGATGTAGACTGAGTAAGGGTCTGCTCTCCATGGGAAATGACGTGGCCTAGCATCGGGGGACTTTGCCTAGTTCAACTTGATCCTGATTGAATCATGCCTAATCCAAGTGTGGCACATGCTACTGACCACCAGCAGCCAAGAGACCTATCCATACCTTCAAGGAAGGGGCACCTCTTTGCCACCTTGTGGGTTCCTAGATCATCCTCAGTGAGGGCCCTTATCTGGTAAGACAGGGGATCAGGCACATCTATTCCTTGAGACCTTGAGGGTAGCCAGGAAGCATACGTGACATTCACAGCATCTTTTCTAGGAATGGTTTGAAAGGGAGGAGAAGAAAACAATCTAAATACCACTTGGTAAAGAAATGTTACATTGTTTTTAAAGACTCTGAGATTAGACAGTAAAGTTATGAAACTATATTGTAGACTATTGCATTCATTAATTTAGCTTATTTCAATTCAGGATTCTTTTCCACCAAGTAATTTCTTAATTCATCTATGTAGAAAAAAAGCTGATTTTCACATGCAGGTTTAGCACAGGGAGTGTTTTTGTTTATTTTTAAGAGACAGCGTCTCTCTCTCTCTGTGTCATCCAGGCTGGAGTGTAGTAGTACAATCACAGCTCACTGCAGCCTTGAACTCCTGGGCTCAAGTGATCCTCTCCTGCCTCAGCCTCCTGAGTAACTGAGACTAACAGGTATGTGCCACCATGCTTGGCTAACTTTTTTGTATTTTTTGTAGAGACAGTCTCGCTATGTTGCCCAGGCTGGTCTTGAACTCCTATTCTCAGGAGATCCTCCTGTCTCAGCCTCCCAAAGTGCAGGGATTACAGGAGTGAGCCACAGTGCCCAGCCAGGGAGAAGATTTTTAATCATACTCTTCAAGACATTAGTGACCCTGGCCACAGTTCATTGTGTTTTACCAGGCTCTTCTCCCATTTACTACAAAGGAAGGGAAAACTGATCATGATCTTGTTTGACACTCTAGTTTTAACACTTTATGGGTATTTTCCCTTTATTTCAGGTACTTGAACTATAGTAGAACTATATATTTTCTCCCCCAAATGGAATAACCACAAATAACTCAAATTAACAGTTTTGAGACAGGGTCTCACTCCCATCATCTGGGCTAAAGTGCAGTGGAATGATCTTGGCTCACTGCAGCCTCTGCCTCCCGGGTTCAAGCAATTCTCCCACCTCGGCCTCCCAAGGAGCTGGGACTTACAGGTACATGCCACCATGCCCAGCTAATGTTTATGTACGTGTATTCTTAGTAGATATGGGGTTTCTTCACATTGCTAGGCTGGTCTCGAATTCCTGGGCTCAAGTGGTCCTCTCACCTCAGCCTCCCAAAGTGCTGAGATTACAGGCATGAGCCACCACACCTGGCCCAACGCATCTTGAATAAAACTACTAAACCTCGAGGACACTTACTTTTCCATTCCAGTTAGCTTGCCTTCATCATTTTAGAGTGAATAGCAGTTGTTTTTTGTTTGTTTGTTCGTTTTTTCCGAAGATCTGCAAGCAAGAATAGGGATTATGATGTTATAAGACTATCTTTGTTTGTTATTAGAACTAGCCAAGAGACAACACATTCCTACCAGCTGATTGTGGAGGCTGCCTTCGGATTGAGAATACTTTGGAGTGTTGCCAAAAAAGACCCAATGAACCGTGGCATCATGTAGACCACTGTTGCTTATCTCTGTTAGGAGTGGATTCTTCTGAAGAGACTTTAAGAACAAAAGTTAAAGGCAACTAATTCCAGGAAAGAACTACTGAGCGGACATTTAGTTACTGATCATTAAAGTCAAGTCAGGTCTTGACAAAAAGTAAAGGACCTTATTGTCTTCTGTTCCCACTTTTGGTTGTGTTCGACTACCTGTGTCATCTGTTGCCAACCTCCTTGTTAGTTATGAAAGAAATAGGAAGACTCATAATGCCAAAGCCCACATACTCCAGGATCTATAGCAATGTTACAGTGTTCATCATTGTATACTACTACATAACTACGTCATTATAGTTATGTCAAAGGCCTACAGGCTTGTATCTTTTTTTTTTTTGCATTGCTATTAGTCTTTTAGTGGCTACAAAGGAGTCAAGTAGATGATCTAATTTATTTGATCTTGTTAGCCACTCGTTTTAAAATTTACATAATAATCCTGTGATGAATATGTTGGTATGAGTTTTCCAAAGTTATATATTTCTGGGATTTCTACAAGTGGGATCTCTGGTCTGAGAACCATTTGGTTTTGGCTCTTAATATGTCTACTGCATTGTTTTCCAAGAGGCATATCACAGTTCACAACCCTGTAAGCAATGTTTTCTCATCACCACTAACACTTTATAGATTGTATTATAGGCCATACCCATGCACTGTTTGAAACTTGTCATGTTAACTCATTTAATCTTCACAACCATTTCCCAAAAACAGGTCAACCACCAGTTCAGAGAAAGGGTAACGATGCTGGTGCTGGTGATAATGACAGTAATAGTGTTCCTCATCAGTTAGGTCTCGGTGAGTTAGAAACTTTAGAACTAAAACCTTGTTAAACTTACATGTGGGCCGAATATGGTGGCTCATGCCTGTAATCCCAGCACTTTGGGAGGTCGAGGCGGGTGATCACCTGACATCAGGATTTCAAGACCAGCCTGACCAACGTGGAGAAACCCCATCTCTACTAAAAGTACAAAATTAGCCAGCCGTGGTGGTGCATGCCTGTAATCCCAGCTACTCGGGAGACTGAGGCAGGAGAGTCGCTTGAACCCAGGAGGCGGAGGTTGCGGTGAGCCAAGATTGTGCCATTGCACTCCAGCCTGGGCAACAAGAGTGAAACTCCATCTCAAAACAAACAAACAAACAAAAACAAACAAACAGACAAAAAACCTTACATGTGGACTCTATAGAGCTAAGAAAACAAATTTAAAACGGAGATTTTGTCCAAAACCCTATTAGGGACTCATCTGAGACTAGAATCTAATCACCTCAATCCCAGCCTGTTACCCCCACCCCAAGTCCCGTTGCCCCTTAGTAATGTTCCTGGATCCCTGGTAGAAGACAGATCAGCAAGTCAAGGTGTAAAGAACAGTTTCCCACCTGGGAAAAAAACAAAAGCCAGGAGTGTGTGTGTGCACGTGTGTGTACACATGCCTGTGCAGGGGCAGGAACTGACATGCCCACAAGGGACTGCTGACCTTGTCACAAGAACAAGAGTCCAACAGCACACAGTCCAACCCTCAACTTACCTTGTGCTTCATTTCCCTTACCACAGATTCGAACACTTTGGAAGATTCAACGCTCAGACTCTTTGAGATGCTCTGACTTAACCATCACTGTCACTAAGACATTTGTGGAAGACAGGGAGAAAAAAAAAAGCCCCACCAACAAAGCATCCCAATAGTGCTTCAGTATCACATGCCCCCCGTTGGGATTTTTACCCTCAAACTGACCTCAATGCAAGATGAGAACGTGCTTTATGTTTAAGTTTATACTGGACTTGGGAATGGATTATGGAGACAATGGCCCCTGGGTAATGCTGTGATTCAGATTAAGCCTGAGAAATACAAAACCTTAGACATAATACACTAAAAATGACTAAAAACATATTGAATTTGTGCGTTTGTAAAGTTGGGAGAGTATATAGCTTGAAATCTGGATCAAAAAGGTTGATTTCGTCCATTTCCTGACATGACCAGTCAAAGAGCATACTTTGCATCCTCAATACACACCTGCTTTCTGCCATGAGTTTAAGATGGGTTTAGGGAATTCATTAGGTCTCTAAATGTGATCAACAGATTGGGAATGTATCTGGTATTCTCCAGTAAAGAAATCTTACCTCCTGGATCATGTTGGAATGCTAGAACGGAGCCATTTCCAGGAAGTGAGGAAAATGTTGTTGCATCTACATTGGGAAACAGGAGAAAGGGAAAGAGAAGTTAGTTTTGCTTGCCTATAGTGTCTTAAACTTAGTTCAGACATTGATCATGATTGTAGTAGTAAATACATGAAGCATATTTAGCTCACATTCTGTGCTAAGATGCTGATGTTCAATATGCTGCCTATAAACTGGTTAATCTTCACAACCCTATGAGGTGCTATCATTTCCATTTTGCAGAGACTAGACTGAGATGTTACCCAAGGTCACATAGCTAGAAAGCTGCAGAGCCTGTATGTGGCTCCAGACTCCACTTTTAACTACAATACTACAATACCTTGTAAGACTGCGTGAGTGCCTGGCTTCCTTCATTCTCAACCTCAGTCACCTCTGCTGTAAAATGGAGATCCTATCACCAATTTCAGGACTCCTGAGGGATTCACAGTGGAACATTTGTGAGCAGCCGTGTCTTTATATCGTGAGGTCTCAACTGGCATTCACTCTCTCCCATGAGGAAAGGTTTATTTCTGAGAAAAAACAGAATCATAGAAATATGATGACAGAGGCGGATGGGACCTGAGGAATCACCCATGGCAACCACTCTTTCTCTCTACACTTGGAAGGGTCCAATCCCTTCTTCAGCTTCTTTGGTCACTTAGAGTAGTGAGTATACCACCTACAATGCAGTCCAATTCATCTCACTACAGAGGTCAATTCCTTACCAGTAAGAAGAAAACTTCTGACACCTCTTCAAATACTTAGAGCAGCTACCAAGTAATCCCTTCCAACTCCCAAGACTCCCAACTCCCCCGGTAACCCTCCTTAGGTTCCAGCTTGACAAAGCTGCCTTCCAAGTATGGTACTTGGAACAGTTGTATCAGGTAGGATGTGACTATGCCAAAATAAAGGGGTACTTACCCCTCCCTTGACCTGCTGCTTCTACTCCTATTAAGGCAACCCCAGGTTGTATTCCCCAAGTAATTCTGAAACACCCATGCCTACAATACCAGATCCCAGCTCCTAATCTCAAATTACCATCCATCCTCCAAAGCTGCCTCTTGATACTACAGTGGCTAAAAAGGGCTTTTTCTGAAATAAACCAAGACAATTTCTCTCAGCTGTAACAGGAGAACAAGGCTAGGAAAGCCTGCTTTTGTGGCCTTCAAGCCCACGAAATGATTAAAAGTCTGACATCAGTTTGAACTGAAGCCCTAATGGCCAACACAGTCAACTCCTGTTGCTGATTCTGAAACTGTTCAAATACTTCCAGCTCTTTCCCCTATAGATATAAGAAAATTGTCCTTCACAACTCTCGTGTTTGGGCATGGTTGTGAAATCACTTTCAGCCAGTGACTATCATTTCTGTCCAGAGCATCTAACTGCCAGTGCAAAGACCCCCCAGCGTGCTTCCCCTCAGGCCAGGTAACATAACCGTCAGGCTGGTGCCCAGGGGACTGCAATGAGCAGAGCCCACCCGCTGCACACATGGACTGTGGCCCAAGTGAGAAGGCTGGGTTGCTCTTGAAACCACATTATAACTTAGCATATGCTGACACAACTCCATTATTAAACTCCAGAAAAGTGGCCAGTTGCAGTGGCTCATGCCTGTAAACTCAGCACTTTAGGAGGCTGAAGCAGGAAGATCAATTGAGGCCAGGAGTTTGAGACCACCCTGGGTAACATAGGGAGACCTCATCTCTGCAATTTTTTTAATTATTAGCCAGCCATGGTGGTGTGGGCCTGTAGTCTCAGCTACTTGGGAGGCTGAGGTGGAAGGATCACTTGAGCCCAGGAGTTTGAGACTGCAGTGAGCTGTGATTATGCCACTGTACTCCAGCCTGAGTGACAGAATGAGACCCTGTCTCTAAAATAAATATATGAACTCCAGAAAGAAGTGGGAGTCTCCCCTAGATCCCTCCAGAGCTCCCAGTATCTCTTAAGAGCTTACACTTACCCAACACTTTTTATTCCCTTTTTTCTGATTGGGCTTAACAACTTTATTTGAAATGAAAATATTTAGGATTACAAAGGCTCAACAATTATCTGATGAACCAGCAAGAAGACCTCATCCGACTCACAAGTTCCTAGACAACCATGTTTCTAGAAGCTATAGTAAGGACAGGGGCTATTCTCGTCTTCACAAGCCACTGCTGCCTAACGTGTAAGTTTGGGAACTCAGCTGGGGAGAGTGATCGAAGGGAGGGAGAAAGATACACTCCAGATAAACTAAGCTTTTGAGCAGCCCTGCCATCAAGTTCATGGTTTTCCCTGGGAACAGCTTTCCGCTGAGTGAAACTGGTTCGTTCCAGCCTGAGGCCCAAGAATGAGAAATTCCCCACAAAAGCTGAAGCATAGAAGTGCAGTCATTGCTCCCATAGGAGGCATGGCCAGAAACAAATAGTGGTGACTTATTTAGAAAGTTACTAAGTTGCTACTTTTGTGGTTTTTGCTCTCCACGGCATAGGAAACTGACTCCCTACCAAGCGCCCAGCAGATACAGAACATCCAGGTCACAATGGCAGGGCTTGCCAGGCTTTTCAATGGTCGCGTAGGTGCAGGAACTCCCACCTCTCCCCAAAACTCAAGGGGGGCCCAGGATATGCATTTACTTATCTGGAGCAGAGTCAACTTCATGGGCTCCACTAGCCTTCTTAACCTACCAACTTCAGAACATGAGTACTGAGGGGAAAAGTTTAACGTAATCCTTACAGGATTCTAAAACCCAGTATTTTGGCAGAGTGGGGGTACAGCAGTCAAAAGACAGGGAGAAACCTACCCAATTTCCTGTATGGCATTTGGGAGGGAGTATCTGCCAGTCATTACCCCAGTGGAGCTCCACTGATGCAAATAGAGAAACAAAGCCTCTAGAACTGAGAAAATACCTCTAGAGCATTCTTTAAGACCCTTCTCAAAGCCCTCCCTCACCAGGATTCCATGAAGACTGAAGTCACAAGCAAGTATTCAGTTGAGTTGTATTTCCTGAAGTGCCTCATAGGAAGATACTAGAAAAAGAGGTAACATTCATTCAACAGCTTTATGCTATGTGCCAAGTCCCTTGCTGGTTCCTGAGGATACACCAGGGAAAAGTCAGATGGCAAGGAACCTGTCCTCATGACACTTGCATTCCACTGAGAGAGACAAGAAAAGTCACCAATGGCTGGTCACGGTGGCCTACCCCCATAATCCTAGCACTTCAGGAGGCCAAAATGGGTGGATTGTTTCAGTACAGGGGTTCAAGACCAGCCTGGGTAACGTGGTGAAACCCCATCTCTACTAAAAATACAAAAATTAGTCAGGTGTGGTGGCGTGCACCTGTTGTCCCAGCTACTTGGGAGGCTGAAGTGGGAAGATCACTTGAGCCCAGGATATCAAGGCTGCAGTGAACCATGATCACACCACTGCACTCCAACCTGGGTGACAGAGGGAGACCCTTTCTTAAAAAGAGTCACTGACAGCAGTAAGTGCTCTGAAAGAATGGAAGAGGATGATGTGGTAGTGACTGTTGGTGGCATCTGAGCAGAGACCTGAAGGATGAAAAAGACTGGACAAGAGAAGAGCTACTAACAAGTTAGGTGATCTGGGAAGCTAGATGTAGTGAGGGTCACAAGTAAGTTTTGATGAAGGGAAGACAAGGACAAACTTCAGTCTGAATTCTCCTAGGCCTGCCACAATGCAAGACAGCACTGAAAACAATTTGAAGTATCAGCACTTGGTGATATGGTTTGGATCTGTGTCCCTGCCCAGATGTCATGTTGACATGTAAATCCCCAGTGTTGCAGGTGGGGCCTGGTGGGAGGCGATCAGATCATGGGGGCAGGTTTCTCATGAATGGTTTAGCACCATCCCCTTAGTGCCATCCTTGAGATAGTGAGTGAATTCGCTTGAGATCTGGTGGTTTAAGTGTATGGCACTTCTCCTCAACCCCCAATTCTCTCTGGCTCCTGCCGTTATTATCTGATGTGCCTGCCCCCGCTTCACCTTCTGCCACGAGTAAAAGCTTCCCAAGGCCTCTCTAGAAGCTGAGCAGATAGATGCCAACACCATACTTCCTATAAAGCCTGCAGAACTGCAAGCCAGCCAATTAAACCTCTTATCAATTACTGAGTCTCAGTGATTTTTTGTGTTTGTTTTTTATTTTTTGAGACAGGGCCTCACTCTGTCACCTAGGCTAGAGTGCAGTGATGCAGTGTTGGCTCATTGCAGCCTCAACCTCCTGGCCTCAAGCAATTCTCCCACCTCAGCCTCCCTAGTAGCTGGGACTACAGGCATGTGCCACCACACCTGGCTAATTTTTATAATATTCGTGAAAACAGGGTTTTACCATGTTGCCCGGGCTGGTTTCAAATTCCTGGGCTCAAGTGATCCTCCTGCCTTGGCCTCCCAAAGTGCTGGGATTACAGGTGTGAGCCACTGTGCCCAGACAGGTATTTGTTGTGTTGCTTTATAGCAACACAAGAACAGCCTTATGCACTTAGGTAACCTTTCCACATTCATGCTTAACAGCATGCCAGTTCCTTGTGTCCAGGCCTTCCCACTGGCCATTGCCCGTACCTGAGGTTGAGATGAGAAGGCCATTAATGGTCGTGATCTTCAGTCCCCTCCCCAGCAGGGAGATGAAGCACCATGAATTTATGCCCCATGTCCTGGTCTTCCTGAATCTCTGGTGCTGGGACAAGGGTATGGCCTCCAACAGTGCCTGCTGAGGGATTATCTGTGGCCCAGTGGGGAGGTTCGAAAGCCAGAGAGCAGCCTGGTGCTCAGCACTCTCACTCTTCAAACCCAAGAGTTTGGCCTAGCTGCTGCCAGCAGGTGGAGGGTTCTAGGCGGTTTGGTGCTCAATACTGCCTTCCTGAGCACTTTCCAAATCCAGGGGCTCCTCTTGGAGAGATCTGATCTCCCAGAGGGCAGGTGAGGAGTCCAGGCTTTCTCTTTTGGTCACCCCCTCCCACGTCTGAGCCACTTTTCCATCCCTCTCTTCAAGGGCAACTCTGGACCCCAGCACTCTCTCCTGATTATGTGTAAAGAGCAGAGAGCAGAATGGAGGGCCATTCTGAAGGGGCTGGCAGCAGATGATTCACCAAGCCATCCTGCATGGGTTTAGCCTTCGGTCTGGGGAAAGCAGTAGTGAGCAGGGTTTTTGTTAGACCTTATACTCCATCCCATGTCTTGCTTAACTGCAGCCTTGGGGCTATTAAGGTTTCATCCATTAACAAAGGATCTTCTTTTCCAGTGGGTAGAAGGAAGAGAGGGATCAGATGCTGTGGGTCTCCCCTCTATCCTCTGAGGCTTCCTCATTCCCCATTTGAGAGGGCCCCCCAGCCTCTGCCCTTCTGTTTCCCACATGGGTGACACTTGGATCTGAGATGGTTCCTAATGGAAACTCTGGAGCCAGAACAGAGAGAAGCTGCTCATACAAAAGCTCATGGGGGATTCTCTCTTGGCCTCAGCAAAGGCACAGTACTGGCCTCGGAATGCAGCGCTGGTGGGTCTTGAGGTCAATCTCATGGAAAGCAGCACCACGTTGACA